CTCTTCAGAACTATGACTTGCCCAAGGTCATCCAGCCAGGTACAAGTGGAGGAGTGGGGGAATCAAACCCGGTTCTCCCAGATTAGAGTCCTCACACTTAACCACTACACCAAACTGGTGTATGCTAATATTTATTTATTTGTTTATTTATTTATTTATTTCTTTTTGGGATTTCTATCCCACCCTACCCAGTGGCTCAGGGCGGCTAACAACAATATAAAACCTAAAAACAATAAAACAATAATATAAACAATTAAAATTCGGTGCTACAAATCTACATACATTCTGCATAATACACAGCATTCCCTATTGTCTTTGGCACTGCACTCTAGCTTGGCGTGGTCTGTTGTCAATGGCATCAGTTCTCGGGTCTTCTTTAGGTGCCTCTAACTGAAATCCTTTTAATGGCAATAGCTGAGATTAGGCCCGTAGCTACGGTGGGGCATTTCAGGGCTCCGCCCCCTCAAATGTGAGGCACGCCCCACAACAGCTGCTGCCCCTCTCTCAAACTGGTCAGGAGAACAATTGCTTCCTGACCCCATTGTGGCGATCAGCACTTCCCTGGGTGTGTAAGAAAGGGCCACCGAGCCATATCCCTCCCACCACTAAAACAGCTTTAAAACAGAACAGCAAGACTGCCCGTATAGGTCAACCTATGCCCATTCTCTGAGCAGAGGCAAGTCAACACTAAGAAGAGAATGGTTCCTTGGACTCTGTCCTAAGTACTTGGTACAAGTAATATTAACACGGTGCATGGAAGGTTAATTGACTGTAATGTTTTCTATGTGAGGCCAACTGAATACATGTGTTATTGTGAACCTCCCCATTGAAACCTAATGTTAAGCTTCATCCTGGGCTAGGATCCAAAGACATCCTATCAGAAGACTAGCCCAGGAAACTGCGTCCAATCACTTCACTGCTAGCTCCCTGAGCGGGAACGTTCGTGATTGGTCCTTATCATTTCAACGTTATTGGTTGGTTTCTGTACAGTGGGTGTGGCTACATTAGCTGGGAATGTTTAAAAGCAGGACAGCTGCAATGTTAAAGCTGTTCTGGCTATCAGATGTTGATCCGTGTTAGAGTTGTGTGCGTTCTGTAGAATAGAGTTGTGTTCTTGCTGAATCACTCTCTGACTGCTTTTGTTAAGTGAGCGACTTAACATTGACTATGAGCCAGTTTGGATGACTACACAAAGTAGAAAGCACACAAAGTTCTGGTCACTGCACCTCAAAAAAGATATTCTAGCACTGGGAAAAGTGCAGAAAAGGGAACTAAAGTGATTACAGGGATGGAACATCTTCTCTATGAAGCAAGGTTAAAGAGGTTAGGGCTCTTTAGCTTGGAGAAATGATGACTGAGGGGTGACATGACGGAGGGTTACAAAATTATGCATGGGATAGAGAAGGGTGAGAAAGAAGTCCTTTTCTCCCTTTCTCACAATACAAGAACTCGTGGGCACTCCATGCAATTAATGAGCAGTAGGTTTAGAACAGATATAAGGAAGTACTTCTTCACCCAAAGAGTAATTCACTGCCCCAGGAAGTGGTGCAGCTACAAGCATAGACAGTTTCAAGAGGAGACTGGATAAATATACAGAGCAGAGGTCCATCAGTGGATATTAGCCACAAGGTATAGATGGAACACCATGGCTGATTTCGCACTAGAGCTGCCTCGATGTTGCGCCGCCCTTTGCCCCGATACTATTGGTCAATTTCACACCCGAAGCTGTGGGGCTGCATTTTGACGCGCGGCTTCGCCCGATTTCCCCCGCAGTTTCGTGATCCTGTTTTTTGAGGATCACGAAACTGCGGAGGAAATCGGGCGAAGCCACGGGTCAAATGCAGCCCCGCGGCTTCGGGTGTGAAATTGACCAATACTATCGGGGCAAACGGCGGCGCAACATCGAGGCAGCTCTAGTGCGAAATCAGCCTATGTTTGGGGCAGTGATGTTCTGTATTCTTGGTGAGAGGGCTTCTGCAATTGTGGCCCTGCTGGTGGACCTCCTGATGGCACCTGGGTTTTGGCCACTGTGTAGCACAAAGTGTTGGACTGGATTGGCCATTGTCCTGATCCAACATGGCTTCTTTTATGTTCTTATGTTCACATGCCCCACCTCCAATGCCAATGTATGTTCATCATCAGATTAAACATGTAAGTCTTGTATATGTTCATGAATTTTGGTGCCCACAGACCCAAGTGGTTCAGTCTGTTCTTGGATCTGTGGTGAGACACTGGTCTCTCTGTTCAGGCTAATGCATTTGCTTTTTATGCGTGTATATGTTGTTCAAATATTACTCCTGAGTGAGTATGGAAGAGCATGTGTGTCTGGTGGGGAGGTTGAGAAAGTGTCGTCTCAGCCCCTTCACTGCAGGTAGGCAGAAGACAGTGGAGGCAGTGAAATTTTTCTGAGCCACTCACTTAACAAAGATAATCAGTTCGGGGACAGATCTAACCACTATACTTATCCAAGTCAGAAGCCTCCTTCCTGCCGTAGGTCGTGATCAGACGGACAGTTCAATCCGCTGTTGCTCTGCCTCTAATAGTTCCAGGTTATGTAGTTACAGAGAATCCTGACCAGACTCACCCCTTTTAGCACTCTTCAAAGTGATTTTAACTTGCTGTGGAGTGATCAGATAGCACCAAGCACGGAGTCAGCCCATCGGCCATTTTTAAAGAAGTTTGTTCTAGGAGCATGCCCACAAGGAGGGACGAGCCTTCTGGGATATGTAGTTCATGGGGCTGTCAGCCATTACTTTAAAAAGTTTTCCCTCTGAGCATGCACACAAGCGCTTGCTGAGAATGCTGGGATATGGCGTTCACTGCCATCCTCCCGCTAATATTTTCAATTCGACCCTTCCCCAAATGAAATTAAAAAGCTGCAGAACAGGGGTGTCTTTCTTTGAGAGTTTTTCAAAAGAAAACAAGGTTTTGAGTAGCCCCGGGGGGGAGAGGTGCATATATACAGTCATGCGATCCTCACTAACAAGGGGGGTGGGGAATGGTAGCTGCAAAACACGAGATCAGTGAGACCTGCCTGGTGGCTTGGGTGCACAACAGAGGGACCAGACAACAGGAAATCCATTTTGGAAGCGGCTCAGACCAACAGGACCAGACTTTCTCAGGTATCAAAGAAACATGGGACAAGGGGAGGGGGGAATGGAACTCAGACGACTGGGGCATGACAGATGTTGCTGTCTGATCGTGCACTTTAAATCCATAAGGGTACAGCAAGGGCAATGGATCGAATTGCCCATGTGAACGTGACCTTATGGAGGTTTCCTCCAGCGGAAGTTCTTTCCTCCAGAGGCAGACCCATTTCAGTTGGAGGAAGGGCTCCTCAGGCTGGAGGAAAGGTTCCAAGTTGGCTGAGAAGAGTGGCTGGAACTACCCCTCAATACTTAAAAAATATCTTTTAAAAAACAAATTAAAATACTGTAGCTCAAGTATTAGCACCAGAGGAAGGGAGATATCAACTCGAAGGCCTATCATTAACACTCCGAATAACAAGTGGAAAATTCGACTGAGGAGTATTTACAGTACCGTCCTGGTGAATCTCCATTCTCATCAAATGAGATCGGGTCCCCGGAAACCCCAGTGAAGTTGGCCTTCATAAGAGAATCCAGGAGTTTCCGTCCATCGATGGGCTTCATGGCATCACAAAGACCTGCGTAGCCCGGGCACAAGACCGTCTGCATGTTATGGAGTCCATATGCCATGGAGTAGATCGCATTGATCACAAAGCCCATCTTAGAATCTTGCACATGTTGTGTTCTCAAGGTCAGATTACCTGTTGAGAAACATGGCACGTTGTAATTAGTAACGTTTTCGGTCACAAATGAACTTGGGCATGTATCCATAGTATATTTAGGTAACACTGCAGGTCCTCTTGGATTCCGGATGCAAACATGAACTCTGGAATCGGGTTGTCAACAAGAGGCATCCCATCTTTTCAGAAGTCATCCCACCAATTTTGTTGCTACCTGGCTATAAACCAAGTTGCTGGCACCTCAACAAAGATGTCGGTTTCAAAAGAACAGTTGGAAGAAAATGTTCCCTGGCATATTAGCCCGAAAGAACCACGAAATTTCCCTGCAACCAAAAATATTGCCATGACGACCATATATTGTGAGATTGCCCAAGGAGCATGCCAACCACAAAGCGTGTGTGGGGGGGTGTATGTTGGAAGCTGCATTGTGCTACGGTGTGAAGCACAAATAGTTTCTGTTCAAATCCGCAGGAGCTCTCAGTACGCAAGGACCTTCTAGGACAATGGCCTTTATAAGTCATTCAAAATGGAACTCACCCACACCTTCTGCTGGAAGTTAATGAGTAGTGTTCTCTTGGAAAGGAAGGTGTTTGAAGGGGGAGGGCATGACTCTACCCAAAGGAGCTATTCATACACGCCAGTTATTCTGGAGGGGGATGTGTTGTTTTATGTAACCCTGCGGCAGTCTGCATAGCATTCCTTACTGCACCCGTTTTGCAAAAAACATTCTCTTTCCAAGACCACATTCCACGTTGATTCATCAGCCTGAACATCTGCCCCAGAAATCCTATGTGTTTCTGAGAATTCAGGGGCATTTTTAAAGGGACAGACTTTCTATGAAGGATTTTAGCTGGGTTTCCAGGGTCTGAGTGAGGTAGGGCTACCGAGCGTCACCGTGGGTCCCTGGACAAAGATTTTGCCTGGGCCTCTCATATGACTCTGATCCAAACCAAATATCATAAGAAAACAAATCACTTGGCTTGCTGTGGACAGAATAGAGTGGACAGATGTGGTCAGAATGGAGCAGGTGCAGTGGAGATCAACAAGGATGATCAGGGGCCTGGAGACCAAGCCCTACGAGGAAAGGCTAAGGGACTTGGGAATGTTCAGTGTGGAGAAAAAGAGGTTGAGGGGGGACAGGATTTGTTAGCCGAACTGCTTTATCTACAGCAGTTGGCAAATTTTAATCTGGGTGCTTGCCAGCTATACCAAGGTCCAGTTCCCACCAAGGGTTGTCAGTAAAAGGAGTTGAGGCTGTTGTTACTAAGATAACTGTCTTTTACTTATGAAAATATAAATCACATACAAACAATACTGATGCACGCACACATTCAATCAAGTTCCTCAGAAATACAGAGTTAAAAATAGTCACCTTTGCATTAACAGGTATGGTGATGGGGAAGATACTTATCTGTCCTGAAGCTTGTCCGTTCCAATGAAGAATGGAGGGTCAGAAAATTAGAATACTAGGGGAGTTCAATACACAGCTAGAACCAGCCAGCTTGTGTGGGTCTCTTAACTGCAGATTAAGAGATCAAGTGGATTCAAGGGTTTGGGTATAGGAAGCTGGACAAAAGAGGAGTTTAAAGCAGACAGGGGGTGTTGGGGGGAAGGCGGCTAGCAAGGGCCAGGCGACTGGTCCTTACCTTTTATAGGTGGATCATTGGGTGGGTGGCATCTGTGCCAGTGTCAGGATCCACAGCAAGACAATGAAGTACACGCTTCTAGGAAGGTTTTACTTTTATTGAAAAGCTATAGATGCAGTAACATGAACACTGTTAGGAATGGCGGGTTACCTATGCGCATAATAGGATATAGGGCATTCGTATGCACCCCCCACACACACGTAGTACCCAATTAGATGGGCTCCCGCACGTGGGCATTTGGCAGATTACAAACGGCTGCAAAAGCTGGGAATGAAAGAAGCTTCCCACGAAACCTAGACACACCAACTCCTCCAGTGGCCTTGAGAGATATGCGTTACAGCTAAGATGCAATTAAGTGCATGAAAAGGAATGCACAACAATTAGAAACCTACACCACACCCATGGCAGCATAGCTGACATACTGCCCCCTCAAAAATCAGTCCCCCCCCCAAATCCAGAAATATCCCGGTCATTCCGGGAGATCTCCCGGTCTACCCAGGAACTCCCGGTGGAACCTGCAGATCAATTGAGGGGCCCGAATATCCCCTACTTCCACCCATTCGAGGTGCTGGGGTCCGAAGTCTTTCCATTCCACCAAATACAACAGTTTTCCACGTCTGTGCTTAGAATCCACCTACCTGTTAGTCCGTCCCAAAACTAATCCCATTGGTTGCGTGTAGTGAGGGGTGGCAACCTAGAGGGTTGGGCAATATTGTAACTTAAGATCTAACTCCAAGTAAGGCATCTGGGCAAGTGTAAAACTTGGCGTCAAGGAACCTCTTTGATGTACAGATGAAGCTCGGCTATTCCCTGGTCACCAAAGGTGCATCTGGCAGGAAATGCTAATTCAGATGTAAAGCAGAGATGTGGAATACGTGTCTTTCAACAGTTCATCAATGGGGGCTGCTTCCATTCAAGTTGTTGTTTGCTGACCATAATGGAGATGTGTGCTTCCTTCATCAGGCTGGTAGCTGTGTATCTGAAACCTTATTAACATGTAAGGCTATTCAGGCACCTTCTACGTGCAATATCACAACAGGTGATTTGTACAGCTTACTTTGAGTCTGTGTGTGTGTGAGAGCACAGTCCATTGTGTGTGTAGCAGCAAATATAAACCCATAAAGCAAATTTCAGTCTCAGTCCTTAACAGATTGCTCTCTTGAAGTATAGGAAGGGCTGTCACTTAGAGGAGGGCAAGGAGCTGTTGCTGTTGGCAGCAGAGAATCATGGGTTTAAATTAAGGGCGGGAAGGTATCAGCTGGATTTTAGGAAAAACTTTTGGACAGTCAGAGTTGTGCAACAGTGGAGCCAGCTGCCTCGGGAGGTGGTGAGCTCCCCCTCCCTGGCAGTTTTTAAGCAGCGGCTGGACAAACCCTTGTCAGGGATGCTCTATGTTGATCCTGCATTGACCAGAAGGTTGGACTAAATGGCCTGCTTGGCCCCTTCCAGCTCTGTGATTCTATGAGTCTACCATGATTCTACAGTAGAAAATAATCAGCCTGTCTGTCCATCTGTTATTTATTTATTTATTTTACACATCACCTGCCTTTCTCTCCAATGGGCACCCAAAGCAGCTGACGTCATTCTCTCCTCCATTTTATCCTCACAGCAACCCTGTGAGGTAGGTTAGGCTGAGAGTGTGTGACTGGCCCAAGGTCACCCAGCAAGCGTCCATTATAGAGTGGGGATGTGAACCTAGGTTTCCCAGACCCTGCTCTGACACTTTAGCCACTCCACCACGCTGGCAGGCATAACTCATCAGAGAATAAAACTAGGAGACTCAAAATTGACCACCAGCATCAGGATGATTGTGGGAGTTTGGGGGCCAAAACGGAAAGGCCTGGGAAAATCATAACCCAGATGAGACAAACCACCACCACCCTGTGCTATTTGCAATGGAAGCTGAGGGTCTCTGCTTGGGGAGGCAGGCATAACTCAGAAAATAATGCTACACATTTGAAAACTGGCCACCAACCCCAGGATGGCGATGGAAGTTGCTGGGCCAAAAATGAAGGGAACTGGAACACCCTAAACCAGGTTATCGTCACGACAGACAACATGCAATAAGAGAGCTTTTAAGCAAACTGTGTCTCTAAGACTCAGATCCCCAATCCACCATGGAAAGTTGTTGGGTGACACATGCTGCCAGACCTACCTCAAAGGGTTGTTGTAAGGATAAAATGGAGGACAGGAGAACAATGCAGCTCTGGATCTCCACTGGGGAGAAAGATTGGGTAAGGTATTTGTTATGAATCTGATGTTTAATTATATTTAAAATATTATATCATTTGTCATACAGCAAAGTATCTTTTACAAAGGGCTATTAGATGTTCTACCATCACAGTAATAATGATAACAACCCAGTGCCTGAACTGAGAGTTCTAACTTCTGTTCTACATGTTCAACTATTAAAACAGATTAATGTTCCATTACCATGCATGTAAAGGGGGGAAATAACATCCTTTTACTATTTTGTTAGATCATGGGGAAATAGAGCCAATTTGGTGTAGTGGTTAGGAGCGCAGACTCTAATTTGGGAGAACCAGGTTTGATTCCCCACTCCTTCACATACAGCTGCTGGTGTGGCCTTGGGTTAGTCACAAGTTCTTTCAGAGCTCTTCTCTCTAGGACAGTTCTCAGGAGAGCTCTCTTATCCCCACCTACCTCACAGGGTGTCTGTTGTGGGGAGGGGAAGGGAAAGGAGATGGTAAGCCGCTCTGAGACTCCTTTGGGTAGTAAATCCAATCCCTTCTTCTTCTTCTTCTTCTTCTAACCCCCCCCTTCTCTTTATAATATTAACAAAGGTTTGCTACCGTACGAATCCAAGCAGAATAGGGATGAGAAGGACTTGAGACCAAGAACTGAAAATAAATGGGGTGGGGGGACATGGAAAAAATTAGGTGGAGGGAGAAACTGAACAAGAAAAGTGTGGAAAAGAGGGAGAGAAATGAAGGAACAGAGAGGGAGAGGTTGTCTTATCTTGCTGCAACACCCTAACCGACGCTTTGCAAGATCTGTCTGTGCCGGGTACAAGAAAAGGAAGAGAGAAAGGCTAGGCCATTGGAGAAAAGGACCTGCAGGCTGGCAGTTACTGTAGCAGCTATCAGCATGCTCTCTCGTCTTGCAAGAGTGTAGGCTTCGCGTGATCTATTAGGCAATTTTGCTTCGGACTTGGAGGAAGGCTAGAGTACCTTTTACTGTGCTTCAGCTTCCGTGCACCCCTAGTGGAGGCAGCCAGCACTACATCTTAAAAATAAATGTGCCAGCAAGTACCGTCAGTACCAGTGAGTACCATCAAAGTAAGCATCCCAGTTTCTGGGCAGACGTCAGAGTGCCGGTTAGCCAGAAAGCGCTAAATGCCTTGGGACCAGGGTC